AAAAAAAAAAAAAAAAGAAAAGAAAGAACTAAATCATCCTAGTGATGCTCCAAATTCATGATGCAGGGAGCTCCTTTTGTTCAGTCAAAAGACACCTGCCTATTCAGAAAAATAAAATAGCTTGAAAGCTTTTGCTATCATTATCCCTTCTTGTAATTTGGAACACTGTTTTCTAGTGGGGTTTTGAGAGGACCCTAGGATTAACAAAATAACGCATGTGAAAGAGGTTTGCAAACAATGAAGTCCTATTTATTTAATTTTTTCTTCTCTAGTAACATAGAACAGCAGCTTACATGAATGGAAGAATAATATCACATTAAAGACATGGAATAGAAGTGTTTTATCCATATAAAAACTGATAATAAATAACATCTGTCAGGACAAAGTGAGAGAGAAGAGATGGGATGGAGTGGGGGAAGGGAGATGGAAGAAGGAAACAAGGGAAGATAAGAGAAAGGATGATGGAGAAAGGAAGGTAGCTTGAAGGAGGCAAAGGGGGTCAATAAGAGAGACCCAGGGTGGATAAAGCTTAGGTACACTGCTAGCAAGAAGCTTCAGAAGATTCCCTCATTTGTGCACTTCCCTGTGCTGACAACTTTCTCTCCTCTTCCATCACTGGCACTGTCTCCAAAGTTCTGAACTGGGTACTTGTTGCTGCTCTCCAAATCGAGGAATAAAGAGAACCTAAGGGTTATATTTAGGTCATGGTTCACACGATGACAAGACTCGCAATGGCCTGTGAGTAGATAATGATTTTAGGAATTGCCTGCTTTTGCAAAAGGCTTATTTACAGATATGTAATCTACTGCAAAGACATTTCACTTTTCAAAGTGCCTTCACGTCTATTACCTCCTTTGGCATCAATCTGCCTTCTCTTCTTCTCCTTCCTTTCTCCTCCAGTCGTCCCTGTTTCCTTTTTCCATTTCCCTTTGATCTCCCAGGTATGTAGGACAAGCATTCTTATTCTCATTTTACAGATCAGATGAGGTAAAATGGTTGTAGGCTCTTCCTGAGTAAGTGATATCTAGCTCCCAAAAGACCATCTATGGCCATTAGGATGTCACCTTGGTAGAAACTTGAGGACATGAGTGGATCAGATGTCTGGAGGGTGAGTGGAAACTATCTTAAGTCTTGATAAAGCACCAATAACATTTTTAAATCAATGATTATATAACCTATTCATGTTTTTTCTTTAGGGGGATCACAGTTTATTGTAGTGTATTGTAGTGAAAAAGGTACTAGGCTGAATCCAAATATCTGAATTTTAATAGTAATAATGATATTAGCTAATACAATAGCTACGTTTAACAAGTGTGTATGCCAGACACTGCACTAAACCGCTTACTTGTATTATTTCCTTTAATTTCCACAACAACTGAATGAGTTCAACACTATTTCCTGATAAGTGATGTAACTAAGGTTTAGACAGTGTAAGTAATTTGGCCAAGGGTTTTAGTTTAGGCAGTCTGATATGGTTGCTCTGTGATATCACCAGGAACTCAGGCTCCTTTTTAGATATTTGTTCTACCATCCTTAAGGTGTGTTCCTTATCTTCATGTTCACAAGAAGGCTGCTGGAACTTCAGCCAGTACATTCTTATTTTAAGTACACAGAAAAGGGAAGGAGACATAAAATGAAGGTTTTTTTCTGACCCTGTCCAGTGATTCCACTTACATCTCATTGGCCAGCACCATGTCACAGGCCACCCCTAGCTGAAAGAGGGATTAAGATATCTTTCCTTTTCTTTTTCCCCCCAGCAGATAATATTGTCATTCACAACATAACTAGGATTAGTAAGGGAAAAGGAAACTGATTTTAGGTATGAAGTTAGTATCAGATATATACACAGGAAGTATTTGTGCCAGGTTTTGCCCAGTAGTTTAAAATTATACTTAACATGATGGCATTACTCTTACCATCTTAAAAATATTTGATATTCTAATTTATAAGTAATACATACTCATGAAAGACATTTTGCTAGATATTTTAAAGTATAAAGAAAACAGCCATGATCTCATTGCCCAGATATAACCATTGTTAAAATTTTGCTATATCACTTTCTTTTGATTATTTGGACTTGCATATTTACAATTTCAAAATTGGGCTCATTCTCTACAAGCAGCTGGCCCCCTTTCATCGTTATTTTTTCTTTATTTTGTCTTATAGATCATAAGACAGTATATACTCATTATAGAAAATCTAGAAATACCAGAAAAGTACAAAAATTAATAACAACCATTCTCAAATAATAAACAAATAAACAAAATAAATAATAACTTACCCTTACTTAGATCCAAACACTACTAATGATATTGATAAATTGACATGTGCACTTTTAATATATATATATATATATGTGTGTGTGTATGAATATGGTTGAAGTCATATTGTATATAAAATTTGCATTTGGTTTTTTAAAAATATAAGACAAAAACTTAAGATTTTTGTTCACATTTTTTTGTAATGTCTGCCTAATATCTCACTTTAATCAACATTTCTTAAATATCAGGTCTGTAGAATTCCAATGTTTTACTATTACATATCTTGCTATTCTGATAATCTATTTTTGCACAAGCTTCATCCACATTCCAGGAACATTTTCTAGAAGGGAAAAATAAATAAAATACTTTCATACTATGACTTGCGTATTTTTGTGTTAATTTATTTTGTAGTAATCTGGGAATGTCCTGACGCAAAGTATATTCTGTATATTTGTTTGCAATTTGAGAAAAATTACTGACAGTGGTCAAAAAACAAGACGTTGTTGTTTGATGTCCTGCTTCTAATGTCAGTTGAATCCTGTTTTACACTTTCATGTTGCTGGCCTAAAGAACATTAATGTTAAAGTACAAAACCTCAATTTGCCAACTCCTGACAAGGATGTGTCATTATCATGGGCTCCTTGAATGTTCAGTTTTCTCCTCTGACATCTTGGATCATCCTGTTACGGACTTCCTTTGACAACAGCACATGAAATTAAACTTTGGTCCTTTTTACTTTTGTGTTTTAATATCAGATACTTTCATATGAACTCCATTTCTCAACGATACAACCTCTCGGTTTTCCCATCCTCTCCGAACTGGCTCCTGCCTCCCAAAGACCCTCCTTTTTTTAAATGCCTATAGGTTCCCACTCTAGCAAGTTAATACTCTTGTTTAAGAAATCTTGTGTTTGTCACTCTTAACCTTGCGGTGTAGTGAACCTGCCCTTCTCTGCCTGGGGTTTGGGCCTCTGTGTTTTTTGTTTGGTTTTTAAAGTTCTTCCCGCCCATCCTTCGGGGAAAGACTCTCAAGGTTGGCCCCGCCCACACCACGGCCCCACCCCCTTCGGTCTCTAGCATTCGATCGCCATGGTTACGCGACCGCTGCGGAGAGCGCCGAGCTGCCCTGAAGGCCTGGGCAAAGATCCCGGAGTAGTGTCGGATAGACACGACTCTTCTCGATTCCGGCCAATGTCATCCCACCCGGGGCTCCACGCCCTTGAACCGGAGGTGTACCCCGCAAAAAGGCGAGCGTGGGGCGGCGGGCAGAGCCCCGGCCGCTGGAGGATCCGGTCTAATCTGGTGGAGTCTTAACTGTTAGTCAGGACTCCTCCCGCTGCGCGGCCGCTGAGCGGAATCAGCGGTCACTTCGGTTTGGAGGCGCCCAGGTTCGCAGGTCAGACCTCTAATTCCCCTTCCTGCCTCTGCTCCGCGGCGCTGGCACCCCAAAAGGCCAAAACTCGGAAGATTTAGTGCTTCAGAGAGTGGGGCGGGGAAGGTATTGAGGGGAGTCAGTAGCGACCCAATGCAGGGAACCTGACGGCGCTCGCGCGCGCGCTCGCGCACACAAAGACACGGACATGCGCACAAACGCGCGGCTAACGGTGCTTGTTACAAGCTGCTATTTTAAGAACTTTATGCCACTAAATATATAAGTATATAAATTATTTTAACCACTGAATATATAAAACTCAGTCCTCGAAACGACTCTGAGAAGAAGATAGTAATCGTATCTGTGTGTTCAGATAAGGAAACCGCCTTGCAGAGAGGTAAAGCAAATGTCCAAGGTCTCAGCTAGGAAATGGTCGGGTCACAGTGTATGGCAGCCAGTCTGGTTCTACTGGACAAAATGCCAACTGCTATCTTGCCTGAACACTAATAATGCTGAGAGTTAGCGTTATCTACCTGGAATGGCCTTTCTTGTTCTCTACACGCTAAGTTCCCCTGTGCTCAGTTACTGATACTCAGGAAAATGAGGCAACTCCATAAACATTAAAACCTACCACCTTATCCTGGTTTATAATGGAATTAATAGCCAGAAGTTCATTTTTTTCCCCATGACGCATGACTCTCACAATATATTTTGGTGTTTTGCTTTTATATTTTTAATTAAGAGCCTAAACTCCAACTTGAATGTGCAGGAAAGATAATTTAGATCTGAGCAAGAATTGTTTTCCAAGAGTCCTACAATATGAAAAGTCATTTAGTAAATATGGTGGAATAAAAATTTTCTTTTTCAAGCCGTTCTCTGCCACCTACACAGATGGGGTAGGGTTTCTCGTTAATTCTACAACCCTCCCCCCATACTTGTTTTTAAATTAAAAAATATCATGATATAAAGTGCTTTTGGTAGCCGCCATCATTTAAATAAAGAGATGTTTCAATCATTTGAAATCCCAATTGCTCTCTCTGCATCAATAAAGTCCTTAATTTTGATAAATCTAAAACTAACCAGTGAAAACATGAGGGGGGCCTCAATGCTAAGTACTAAAGTTAATAAATTATATTATGACTTTACAAATGAAATAGTGGAGAAATCTAAAGAAGAAAAAATATAAATACAATTTGAAAAAAATAACTATTGTTTTATTTTGTTAGAATGCCTCCCACGCAGGCAGAAAGTGTTATAAAGAATATCATTCGAGAAATAGGACAAGAATGTGCAGCCCATGGAGAGATTGTTTCTGAAACTCTGGTTGCTTTTATGGTAAGAATGAATATTTTTGTAAATTACTGCTTTATTAAAAAATGTTAAGCGGTGCCCATTTTCCTCTTAAAATTCGGTAAAGCTTTCCTAAATGTTATTCAGTTGAAAACATACTGATGTCATTGGACCAGTTAGCAAAAAATATTTTTTAAAAGTCTATAAGACATATCAGTTCTAGACTAATAGAGACTGATTTAGAAGATCTTGATGAGTTTTAGAAACATCAGTAATGTTGTATTGGAGTTTTTGTTTTTTTTTTTTAATTGGGGATTTGGGGGTGGGGGAACAGACAAGTTGCTGTCCTTTTGTTCTTCAGTCTAGTTGTGGAGGATCCTGCTTCACTGGCCCATGTTGTTGTTATGATCATCGTGCTCTTTCCGGGTGAGGCAGTCGGTCACTGGCCATTGGACAGCCACTCACGCTGGCTGCTGGCCTCTCATGGCAGCCCACTGCAACCAGCTGCAGCAGAGGTTGCACCCTCTGCCGCACCGGCCATTCACGGCAACCCAGCTCTAGGTCGAGCTGTTGTTCACAATCTTAGCTGTAGAGGGTGCAGTGACACTGACCCCCATGTGGGAACCGAACCAGTGGCCCTGCTGCTCAGATCTCGCACTCCCAAGCCAACTCTTAACCAACTGAGCCACTCTGCAGGCCCTTGGAGTTTTTTTAACGTCTATTTTTGTTCACTTAAAAAATTACTCATTGCTTTGTTCTCTCGATTTTTTCTTTTGATTTAACAATACACAATAATAATATTCAAATAGTTTACCAATCTAAAATCTAGCCATTGCTTTCAACATATTTCTCCATATAATTTTTCTAGCACATATTCAAATTTGATGGTTACTGCTTCCTTTCTTCAACCTCTAATGAAGATGCTGATGGCTGGGTAATAAGAAAATCAGCTGAATAATTATCTCCTGAGTAATCAAGAGGCAGATGCTTATAAAATGAAAATGTATTAAACTAATTTCATAATAATATGAAATAAAATTATTTAATGGACTCTTTCCTACTCTCAGGTGAAAGCTGTTGTCCTGGATCCAAGTAATGGCTTTAACATGGATAGAACCCTTATAAAAAGTGATGTGCAGAAACTTGTTAAGGTGATTATCCAACAATTCTCAAATTTTGAAATATTTATTTGCCATTCTAAATACAGCGTGTTATTTCCTTCAGCTCCACGAAACAAAAACCCACCAAATGGTGTTGCAAACAAATAAAGAATTTATTCTTTTCCTCATAAAACAAAGTCCAGAGGTACATAGGCTGTTTCTCCTGGCTTCCTGGGTCACCAGTGTGATTATGGATTTCATCCCATGGTGGCAAGATGGAATTTCACTTTGAGGCAGGTATGGGGGTGGGAGGAACAATTGGGTCTCTCACTTTCTATCCCGCCTATCCGCTTACATTTATTGACCAGAATGATATTGCAAGTGAGCCTGGGACATTGATTTTTCTTCTTCTTTTTTAATTGAACAAATCTTTGCCCCAATCCAAAACGGGGCTTTACTAGTAAGAAAGAAGGGGTGTGATACTGGCTGGTAGCAGTGTCGGCCACAGTATTTTAGAGACATCTTGTTAGTAAACTAATGTTACATTGAGAACATTTTAACTGCTTTGTCATATACTCTAAAGTTACATAGTACTACATTAAAATTCATATCATTGCTTCAGTGTAATTTCTATTTTTCAATTCTAAAGGAAAAATTGAAGCCAAATTAAAATAATTCATAGTTAGAAATCAAGTAGATGTGCCTGAAAACCAGTTTTAAAAACTAGAGAAGGCAGGAACTTTAGACATCATTAATGTTTTCATATGTTTTAAGTTTGACTCACTGGATTTAGGTGCTTAAATATTTATTTTCTAAATATTCCTAAACATATTTCCTAAAAATTCAACATTTTTATTTCTCCTTGGCCTAATGATTTTAATTCCCTCCTCTACACAAAAGACTTTATACAGTTTTCCCAAACTTGTATATGGATATTTTCTGGGTTCTAACAAATGATAGAGAAAATTTTTATCATCCCCATCTTGCCTCACAGCAATTCACATGGTGGAGCACAGGTCTGGTTGCAGATGCTGGAGGGGTCAGGAAAAGCTTTGGAAGCCTGAGCCGGGGAATATGTTAGGATGACTGTGCGGTAGAGACGCCACGATTCTCCAGGGCAGCCTAGAGCTGTGTCTCTCCATGCTGATTTTAAATGTGGTATAACATCCATTCTTAGCAATAGGAGAAATGACTGACAGTCAGCAATTTTATTGGAAAGCCATGGAGGAGAATCAAGGAGGAACAGAAAATAAGTTTTTCTCCTTTTCATGGCTCAAGAAGTTTTTCTTTTTTCCTGTAATTCAACAAAGTTGGGAAAACAAGCTCAATGTACCTTTAATGTGACAGGAATACTAACTATAAATGTATATCATAATTCAAGTGACAAAGTTTATTTCCTTTTTTTCTCAATTAAAAATCACGTGGATGAGCTAATCTTTGTGAACTCTGTGTTTGGAACAGTACTTCTGCACCTGGAGGGATACAGGCCCACAGGTGGCCCAGCAAGGCAGGATTGGTGCTGAGGAGGTGGGGTGAGGGTATATTAAAGATATAAAACCTAAGGTGTGAGACAGGAAAGAGTGGGGTGGAGGGGTGGAGAGGAGAGGAGAGGAGAGAAGAAAATAAAAATTCATGTTGATCATCTAATCTAAAGGGGCAGAGCAGAGCAGGGGCATGAGTCATTCATGGGGGGTTGGGGGTGGGGAATAAGAGAAAACAGAGCAGAGGAAGCAATTTTGAAACTGAAGGCAGAGCCAGAGAAATTTTGTGAGCAGAGCTTTTCATAAAATGCTTGTGACCTCTAGCATCAGCTAAGAAGGAGTGTTGTTTAAGGCTCAAATAAATAGGAATGAGGAACTCTAGAAAAGCTCTAGACAGGAGTTTAAGCTTCATGGAACATTTAGACTGCATAGACTAATCAAAATGTTAAGTGCCTTGCTTTCAACTAGACTGTTAGCCACCTGGGTATGGTGATATTGGTTAACTCAGGGGAAATAACATCACTTAATAAATGTTGGTTGGGTAAATTACAGATCATGAAGTCCTCAAAGAGAAAATAATAATAAGAGGGGTTATTGGTGGAGAAATATCAGAGACTATTGCTTTGATGTTTCCCTTTATTTTTGAAAATAACTTTAGAAAATACTTCTGATCATTTCAGAAACTATAACTAGAAGCATTCATGGGGTATTCTTTTCTAGCTTTGTGTGAGTCGGCTATTGGACAGTAAAAATCCATCCTTGGACACCATTAAGATGCAAGTCTACTTTGACATGAATTATACAAGTCGAGGTAACATAACATAGCTATTGTGATATGCGTTTTAAAAAGATTCATATTGTATTTAAGGTAACAAGGACTTCATTTGATTGTCAATGAACAATTTCATTTTCTGGTCTATCTTTTGAATTTTTTTTCCAATTTTGAAGAATGTTGGAAATGCTAAATGAGAAAAACACCAATTCTAAGTATGCCCATAATAATTATGTTTCCAAGTCTATTGTGTTTTAACAGTTATATCACTAATACATAATAATTATAAATTAAAACAACCAGTCCATTGAAGTTAGAAGTTGCTGATTTTTTAAATTAATTTGCTGATTTTTTTGTCCCTTGTTTATTTATATTAACTCATAATGCTTACCTAGATTATGTAACTACCCAAAAATGAAATGAATAATGGTAAATTTAAGAACATATTTACTTATGTAAATAGTTTCTTGCATACATCAGAGAAAAACTGGAAGACAAGAGAAAAAGGAAAATGAATTCCTTTATACACTACCCTGCTGTAATGTAATCGTTATTAACCATTTGGTAATTTCCATTGTCTTTTTTTTCCCTGTATATACTGAACTTTCAGTTATGCTACATATGTAAAATTATATATCTTGCTTTTTTTGTTGAACAATAATGAAATTTTTAAGCAAAACTAATCATGGAATTGATGACATAATTTATATTTTTTAATTGAAAAATGTTCTGCTGTTTTTGTGGTAAGATTATAGGTATGAACTGTGCATGCTTAGTATGTTAATTATCATAATAGTAAAATGAGGTGTTTTGTTGAGTTAGTTCCAAGAATTGTGCTGCTGGTAAATTGTGGCTTCCACCACAATTAAGCCTAAACCTCATTGTATCACAGGAAGAAGGGAGAGGGATACAGTTCTTGATGAAACATTGTATTATCAGTAATGCTATTCAGAGGAAATTTATCTAGAACTAAGATAGAAATACACATAATTGAACAGGAATATTTTCACTACATTAATGTGTATACTATATGTGCTTACATATAACATATGTATATTGTACACATATTTATACTATACATGTTTATAATACATATTATGAATTGTCTGTATGCTTTCTGCTTAATTGGGAAGTTGTAGCCCTCTGATATTAGTATTTGGGTTGTCTATTTAAAGTCTTATGTGTTTTGACAAGTACACCATTTAAATTGCTGTAATAAATCTTTACCACTAAATATTTGTCTTGAGGCTACCTGCTGGCCACTGTTTATTATGACATCTTAAGAAAATACTTGGTTTCATGCAATAGAATTGCCATACCCAAGCCATTTTTTTCTCTGGTCCTACTTTCTTATGTGATAATTCTAAGTATCAAATATATGGATCATTGTCCTTTGTCAATTTTAGAGGAATTTCTCGAAGAACATCACCGGGTCCTGGAGTCTAGATTAGGCTCTGTTCTCAGAGAGATTACAGATAACAGAGCATGTGCTCGAGAAGAATTGGAAAGCCTCTACCGAAAGGTTGTCAGCTATATGTTACTGCGCTCTGGGCTTGGATCCCCTACAGATATCAAGATTGTCAGAGAGGCAACAGGTAAAAAATACACACATTTGCCATTCCATAAGTGAGAATATATGAACATTGAATATTATAAAATGTGTTAAATTACATGTATTGAAGATTGAAGTTTCCTTTTCATCTGAAAAAAAAAATCAGCATATGTAAGTGGTTAAAACTTACCCAGACTCCTTTTACACTGAGTATCAACTCTAAAACTCAAGTAGCACCTCTGGAAAGTGAATATTGTTAGATTTCGTAGAGCTGTACATATTTGGGGATCTATTACTCCTCATGAGAGAAAATTGGCAGTATGATTAAGGGTACCAGGCTGATTGGGTAATGGGGACCACTGGAAAGGGATATTTTGCATTGATGAAAGAGTTGAGTCTGTCACCTAAAGCAGATGATGGAAAAGGACACTGTTTTATCCTCAGGAAATACTTGCCTACTTTCATACTTTAAGACAAGAAATAGGCAATATCTCTAACCTTCCTATGGCTTTCTTCCATAATTATTTTAAAGCATCATTTTTTTTCCTACTCAGAGTAATTAGAAACCTTGTTTTAATGCCCATTGCCAAAAATTACTGATGGATGCTTAATTATTAAAAATAGACACAAGGCAATGGCATTATTTCAGTAGCCCAGCTTTTTTTTTTTTTTTAGCTGAACCATCCTGCCACCTGTTGGCAGCTCAGCTGCAGCTCAGCTCAGGCTGGGAATCAAACTGCTGTTGCTCAGAGCTTGCACTCTTGAGCAAGCTCTTAACCAACTGAGCCGCTTAGCCAGCCCAGCCCAGCTTTGATATGGTAAATTTTGCTGTGTATTCTGTAATCAGGTATCAGAAATTTAAAGTCATATAAGTAAAAGACAGGCCTTTTAACTTTTGCTGGAAGAAACATGTGATTTAAGCTCTGCTATTTTTATTCTATCATTTTGTTGTCCTTTTTGTGATTTGTTTTAGCTGCCCTACAGAGTGTTTTCCCTCAGGCTGAGCTTGGGACATTTCTAACTCTTTCTAAGAAGAACAAAGAACGCCAGCTGAAAGACCTCTCCATGCTTGTTACTGGAATTCGTTTGTTTAACCAGGACTGTGGAAAGGGAGGAGAAGGCATTGATGACTGTAGGTATATCATTAGGTTAATTCTGTAAGTTATGTAGGTTTAAATTTTAACTTGCACAGTGAAGAAAATACTACCCAGCACACTACTAGCATTCTTAGATTTAAGATTTGCAGTTTTGTACCTTAGTTACAACTACAATGTATAGTAATTTTTAATTTTGCTGGAGCAAGACTTTAAATTTTATGGGAAAGGAATGAGGGGGCCTGCCCAGAAGCCAGCCCCTGTCCCATTCATTGAGCTTCATATACTTTGCTCCAAATAACGAAAAGGGAGTAAAACTCAGTAATTTAAAAAATAAAAAATTACCCTGAAAAGAAAACAGTTGCTGATGTAGTTAATGGAATGAAAAGGTCCAAGAGGAGATATCTGCTACTCTGTAAATTCTGGAGCATTTACTATGCTGTAATAGACTTAATACATTCACTATCTGTAAGTTTGAAAGTACTCATGAAATATGTAGTCAAGGACCTACCAGTAGAAGTAACTTCCTTATGAGTTTGGTGCACATATAGGCCCACTGATAAGGGGTTAGTGTCTTTTACGAGATCACTGATCCACTGATCTAGTACAATTGGGTAACTTATTGCATTTTAAAAACTCTTTCAAAAAGTTAAATTCCCATTCTTCATAATGTTCCCTATCTTGTTAGACTATTCTGTTATTTTTCACTATCCTGATGAGTTTCTTAAGTTGGACACTTCTCTTATTCTCTTTTTTCTCCTCTTTCCTCTCCCCTTCCCCCTACGCCTTCTTCTTACAAATAGAAAAGATTAAACAGAAGGAGAAATAGAGTGGCTTTTCCAGAGACCCCTGGTCAATAGCACATAATACCGAAGGCTATCAATTCTTTAGGCACTTCTGTCTTTTAGTGACAAAAGCTGATATGCTCTACCTTTTCATTATTGTTCTGTCAATATCTTTTGTTTAGACCATCTTTTTTTTTTCTTCTTTTTTTGGATTCTTTTTTCATGGTGTGGGACCCATGAAATACATACCTCATTATTATTAATTTGGTTGAGAAAAAAACTAAATGCTGAAATATCACTTTCTAGGCTTTTTCGTTTTAATTCTTTGTAAATTTCTTCATGTCTCTCTCTCTCTCTCTCTCTCTCTCTCTCTNTGTCTCTCTCTCTCTCTCTCTCTCTCTCTCTCTCTCTCTCTCTCTCTCTCTCTCTCTCTCTCTTAAAGATTTTTTTGGGGAATTGGGGAAGGGGAACAGTGTTGGGGAATCGGGGAAGGGGACCAGCCAAGTTGTTGTTCTTCAGTCTTCGTTGTGGAGGGCGCCAGTCACCATCTGGCTTCCCGTCAGCAGCTCCTGGCCTCTAAGCTCAAGGTACTGTTTTCAATCTTAGTTGCGGGTGGGTATAGCCACAATCCTATGCAGGAGTTGAACCAGTAGCCTTGTTGTTAAGAGCGCACGCTCTGTCCACTGAGCCATCCAGGCGGCAGCTCAAGGTGCCAAGTTCAGTCTTAGTTGTGGGTGGGCATAGCCCACCATCAAACAGGCAATCTTGTTGTTACTCCAGCTGAGCCATCCTGCCATCTGTTGGCAGCTCAGCGACAGCTCAGCTTGGGCGCAGTGTCACTGGCCCATGTGGGAATCGAACTAGTGGCCCTGTTGCTCAGAGCTCATGCTCTTAAGCCAACGCTTAACCAACCTAGCCACTCGGCTGGCCCTCTTCATGTCTCTCTTAATATGCCTTTAAAAACAGTGCCAGCTATTCTCCGTGAAGCAATTCCAGCCACCACTCAGCATATTGATTCCCAACTTCAGATTGCCCAGGACCTGGCTTACCGCTACACGGCCATCCTTGAGAAAGTAACAGAGAACCCACTCATGAGTATGGAACTGCAGTCATATATGTTAAAAGAAGCACTATATAATGTGCGACAGTATGAGATCTTCCTTCAGACCATTTTGGTAAGTTAATGTCTTAAGATCTGGCCTTCCACATAAAATGCAACCGTGTCAGATATTATGGTGCTGAAACAAAAGGTAAAACCAGGTATTGATAAAGGAAGCAACCTGAATAACTGTTTGGTTTATGTCACATCTATAGGACCAGGAGCTAAAATAGAAATGGGGTAGCTGGATTTTGACTTTAAGGAAAATTTATTGGTAGGAATTAATTTTATACTTGTTGATTCTTTTTGGTACACAGTAGTATGATGCTTAGTATGCTGTAGTTAAGCAGTGGCATGTGTGTGTATGTAAGTAATACTACAGTTAATACTTTATACTCAGAGCAAGTGTCTAATACTGTATTTGCCGGCATATAAGACGACTGGGCGTATAAGACGACCCCCTAACATTTCCACTCAAAATACAGAGTTTGTTATATACTCGCCGTATAAGACTACCCCCTCTTCCGCACACCTTCCACACACCAAATAAAAGGTAAAACAATATCAGATTTGATTTGGCCCACTGAAGTGCAAACAAGCGTATTGTATTTCGTGTCACCACATAACCGTTTTGGCGATGTTGAGCCACCATGTCTGCTACATGTTTTTCGAGTTCTGGCCAGTGTGGGGTGCCTCTTCTTAATGCACACTTACCCCTTGGCATACTCTTTAATGCTTTCTCATTTGATTTCCAGTCCCGAACCATCTTTTCTGTTACTCCATATTGTCTTGCAGCAGCACAATTATTATTTTCCTTAGCAAAGTTTATAACTTTCAGTTTAAAATTTGCATCATACTTCTTTCTTTTGGCTGGTGCCATGATAGGGATGATAGGGGTTTGACTGGTCGACATTTTCTATGCTGTACTGTACAATGGTGCAGTATTGTGGTTGGCTGTTGGCTGTATACAAAGCCTGATTTGATTGGTCCCTGCTCCCTGTTTGCCCGCCCTGTCACTATAGCAGTCTGGTCCACCCTTGCATCAGCATCTCCCTGGGACCTCACTAGTGCGCAAGTGCGAGCTCTTCAACATTCTAACAGGCACCATGATAGCGCAAAATCGCGAATCTTCAATGCATAATATGTAAAGAAATATACGGTAACCCGAATTACCATAACAGCAAAATCGCATAACAGCCGAGCATACACCCAGCAGCGCTGCTGATGCCTGAACGGTATGTGGAATGAAGTGGGCGGGCATCGGGAGGCCACTATGGCACGGGGCAAGCACTATGGGCAGTCTATCTGAAGTGTACCTGGCGTATAAGACGACCCCCCACTTAGAGGCATATTTTTCAGGGCCAAAAAATCGTCTTATACGCCGGCAAATACGGTATATTGTTTGGCAGGTAGTTGACACTCAAATAATTTTTATATAATTATTTGTATTGTAAAATTTGGTAGAAAAGATTTTTATTTCTGATGATTTTAGATCTAATGAACAAGCCAAACAATATCTCCAAAGAGTTTGAAAATATGGTAAAGTGGTGATTTTGAACTTTTTTAAAGTAGCAGAGCTCTTTCTTTCAGACAGATACTTATTCAGAATCCTCAAAATATAAAACAGGTATTTAGATGAAAGGGTTGGAGGGCCTTTTCACCGAGGAACATCCCCGTGCCACCCCAGGGTCCCAGGGCACACAGCTTGTCAGCAATGTCATGACAGCAAGCTGGGTTCCCACCAGTCACTGCTTTTGTCTTTTGGATTTTTGCAGCTTTATTCAGGTATAATTGACAAAATTGTAAGACACTTGAAATGTATAGTGTGGTGATTTTATAAATGTGTACATTGTGATAGGATTCCCCCCATCCACTTAATTAACACATGCAACCCACTGGTTGCTGTTTACCTTCACAGCCCCTACTTTCCAGTAACCATGAGGTGGACAGTCAGCAAGACTGTCTTTTGTATGAGTGAATACTAGTATCCTGAGGGATAGAACAGGATGTGTTCTGATCCTTTCTTCTTCTTAACTGCTATTCATTATGCTAATGAATTGATACTACTTTTTTGATGCTCTTCATCTGTCTTCTTTCTTTACCGCGACTGTAGAGAATATAAAGATAAATATTCAGATGGCATGACTTCATTGCAACAAACTAGGAGTGGTACTCACAACTGACCTACCATCTAATTGCCTTCAGAATGGAGGATTCTAAATCAACTATTCAAAACCAAATCATCCTTTAGGGTAGATGTTCATCTAACATGACTTGTGTAATGAGTCAGATACTAAGGGGATTTTCAAATCAGTTTATCTTGAAGGGCATATGGGTCCACAGAAGTAGACTTCACACTTCCTTTTGTCATTTACATTTAGAAGGATATCATAAGTACCTCGGCAAGCTGTCACACATGCTGTAAGGATGTTGTAGAGAATGTTGTTCATTATACAGTATCTTCTCATAGCTTTCAATCATATATGATATTCAATCAACTAGCTTACAGTCTTACATTCTCACTGGAGTTCTCATTCTCAGAACTAGAGGAACAATGTATAAGTGATGAGTATAGGCTCTACAATCAGGCTGCATGGATTCTCATCTTAACTTTCCCATTTACTAAATCTGTGTTTTTGAGGAAGTTGCTAACTTCTCCGTGCCTTGGTTTCCCCATCTGTAAAATGGGGTTATTGATAGTCTTCACTAAGGTAGAACAGTGTCTGGCACAGAGTAAGAGCTTAATAAGTTGATGATGATGATGATGACATTGCTGCTGATGATGTTCATCAGTACCCTCATCGTTATCGTTAGGGCTTTAGCAGAATAGCTTTGATTTCATTCGAGGTAGGGGCACAAGCTGAAGAGCTCTTATTTTTCTAGATAATATCTAATTTTCAAACTCTGCTGCTCATGTTATTGAGAAAGTTAATTTTCTGATCTTAGCACTTTTCATGATTATTTCGTACTAACTTCAGTGAGGGTGAAGATGAGTTCTGCTAACCTCTGACTTTTTGCTGCTTAATCAGTGTTTCTTTTTGTTGTTTTGTTTTTTTAACTATCCAAACTTCCCCCATCAATCTACCTTAGTTACAGTTAAGGTTGATGATTACAGAATGGATATTGGTTTAATCAGTATTATCTCTAGGTTATAAAATATGTGAATTTATGTTTAGCTGAGACTTTAGCCATCTATGAAATCTATGAATATTCTTTTTTAAAAGACACATTATTTGAACAGATGTTAATATAATTTTTTGAAGTATTGATTTTAAGAAAATTTTCTTTTGCCAATGCTACATTCAGTTTATGTAAACATTTAAAAAAATCCAATTATAGCTTGGGTAAGATAGTGAGTTATTTCATTTTCTTTTGATCAGGAACTTTGCTGCAGTGAACAGATTCAAATATTCTGGAAGAAAAAAGGGAGAGTGATCATAGTCTTGCAGACACTCTTGGCTGAGAGAACAGAATTTCATCCTCTGTGGGTTTTTAAAGTGCAAGGCAGTAACCAAATAGAGACAGCCACTTACTGTATTGTGCAAGTAAAAGTTGCATTTCACACATAACATTTAAAAAATGTATTGTGTAAGACAAGACTTTTGTAGATTTCCTGCTCCCACGCTGTGTTTGCAGGGCCCATTCATAGGACTTCTTGATTTTTCCTGATAATTCAAGAAAAAAAATCAGTTAGGTGTAATTTGTGCTTGTTTATAAGGAACTTATTAGTTAACAAGGGGAGCAGAAGGGGAGAGGAAAAGAAGCATACTGAGATCACATGCTTTCCTCAAGCATTTTTTGGCTGTTTTATGAAAAATTAGTTTTTAAGTGAAAGCATTCTTAGAGAACTAACTGTATTAGTATTTTTTTTAACTGACAATCTTATTAGATTTAAGTGTTAGGATGCTGCCAAGTTCATGGTGGCAGATGCAAGTGTTTCAAAATGAGAATTTTATCACTAGCAACAAAAACTATTGTTTTTCTGAAGTGACAGACTCACATCAATCACTTTCCAGAAAATATCTGCCAAACAGATAAGGCTCAAAAATCAGTTTCTTCTTTCAAGTAAAATTGTGTTCTACTGAGTGGAGGAGGTTAATTCAGCTCACAATTCAATCATGCAAGTGTTTTCCTCAAGAGAACTATGAATTTTAATGTGCAGTAGAAGTCTTTTATATGTACTTTCCATTTCATCACTCTGATTATTTAAAAGCTGTGTCCTTAAGGATCAAGATTTAATAAAATTAATACTTTTTACTGTATCATCAAAGATATTTTTAAGTGAAACAGGCTTTTTTAATTGAGATATAATTGACATATAACATAGTAGTTTCAGGTGTACAACATGATTCGATATTTGTATATATTGCAAAATGATCACCACAGTAAGTCTATTTAAAATCCTTTACCACACATAGTTACAATTTTTTTCTTGTGATGAGAACTTCTAAGATCTACTCTCTTAGCAACTTTCAAATATACAATACAGTATTGTTACCTATAGCCACCATGTTGTTACATTACATCCCCAGGACTTACTTATCTTATAACTGGAAGTTTTTACTCTTTGACCCCCTTCACCCATTTCTCCCAGCCTCCAACCCCAATCTATGGAAACTACCAGTCTTTTCTCAGTACCTCTGAGCTCTTTTTTGGGGGCGGGGTTCCACCTATAAATGAGATCATACAATATTTGTTTTTCTCTGTCTGACTTATTTCACTTAGCATAATGTCCTCAAGGTCCATCCATGTTGTCACAAATAGCAGGATTTCCTTCCTTTTTATGGCTAAATAATATTCCATTGTATATGTGTATACATATATACCACATTTTCTTTATCCATTCATCCATCAATGGACACGTAGTTTGCTTCCATGTCTTGGCTATTGTAAATAATGCTGCAATGAACATGGGGGTGCATATATCTTTTCCAGTTAGTGTTTTCATTTTCTTTGGATAAATACCCAAAAATGGAATTGGTGGATTATATGGTAGTTCTATTTTTAATTTTTTGAGGAACCTACCTCCATACAGTTTTCCATAGTGGCCGCACCAATTTATAGCCCCAAAAACAGTGCACAAGGGTTCCCTTTTCTCCACATTTTCAACACCTACCTCTTGTCTTTTAGATAATAGCCATTCTAACAGGTGTGAGGTGGTACCTCATTGTGGTTTTGACATGCATTTCCCTGATGACTGGTGATGTGGAGCACCTTTTCATGTACCTGTTGGCCATCTGTATGTCTTCTTTGGAAAAGTGTCTATTCAGATCCTCTGCTCATTTTTTAATTGGATTGTTTGGTTTTTTTTTGCTATTGATTTATATGAGTTCTTTATGTATTTTGGATAATAGTCCTTATCAGATATATGATTTACAAATATTTTCTCCCTTTGGTAGGTTGCCTTTTCATTTTATTGATGATTTTCTTTGCTGTGTAGAAGCTTTTTAGTTTGATATAGTCTCACTTCTTTATTTTTGCTTTTGTTGTCAAAGCCAAAAAAATCATTGCTAAGACCAATGTCAAAGAGCTTACTGCTTATGTTTTCTTAAAGTTTTATGGTTTCAAGTGTATGTTCAAATATTTAATCAATTTTGAGTTGATTTTAGTATATGGCATAATCAGCGGTTCTCAACCTTCCTAATGCCATGACCCCTTAATACAGTTCCTCATGTTGTGGTGACCCCCAACCATAAAATTATTTTCATTGCTACTCTATAACTGTAATTTTGCTACTGTTATGAATCATAATGTAAATATCTTTTTGTTTTCTGATGGTCTTAGGTGACCCCTGTGAAAGGGTCATTCTACCCCCAAAGGGGTCGTGACCCACAGGTTGAGAACCGCTACATAAGATAGTGGTTCAGTTTTATTCTTTTGCATGTGGCTGTCCAGTTTTCCCAACAGCATTTATTGAAGAGACTGCCCCTTCCCCATTGTATATTCTTGCCTCCTTTGTTGTAAGTTAACCACCCATATATACATGAGCTTATTACTGGGTTCTGTATTTTGTTCCATTGATCTATATTTTGATTATTATAGCCTTGTAATAGAGTATGAAATCAGGAAGCATGATGAGTCCACCTGTGTTCTTTTCAAGATTGCTTTTTTTGGGGTATTTTGTGGTTCTATACAAGTTTGGGGATTGTTTGTTCTACATTTATGGAAAATGTTATTGGAATTTTGATAGAGATGGCATTGAACTTATGGATTGCTTTGGGAAGTATGGGCATTTTAGCAATATTAATTTCTCTAATTCATAAGCACAGACTATCTTTCCAGTTATTTGTGAGGACTGACTTTACAACTAAAACCTCAATATGGTTGTGAACAAGCTCTTTTTGCTAAAATGTAACAGAGGGATTGTTTTTAGGACATTACCAGGAAAAACCAAGAAGTTCTGTGAATAGCACATAGTAAGAATAAATGTTAGCAATTATTCCAGATTCAGCATGGACTAAATGGTCTGTGAATGGACCCTACAAACCTAGCTTGGTGGAGAAGATCTAGAGTATTTTCAATTATAGGTTTTATAATAAGAAGTGTTATGTGTTGAATGTAACTTTACTTTGGAGAACATATGCAGATTTGTGTTCCTTGTTGCTGTTGCACCAATCTAAAAAGACTTTAAGGACTACATTTTCATATTTGATTCCTAAAACAAAACTAACAAACATGGGGATAAAATACTCTGTGGGATAGACAAGAGACCCATTAGATAGGTTAGCTAATATTATATGGGAGAATGAGGAGGGGAGATGCTTAAAGACTAATATAGGCAAAATTGAAAAAAAGGATACATGTTATGTTTGTGAATAAAAAATTTCCTTCATTAAAATACAATAATAATGTTTGATATTTGTTGTGAAGTTATTATTTTTGTTATTTAAAAATATTCTAGTAAAGCATATAGTTAGGCTTACAGATATCTGAAAATGCAAATATGCTTTTTTTCTCTTCGAGTAAATGTCACTTTTTTACACTGTACTGATAAACCCATACCACCACCATTTTTTATCGCATCTTAGTGCAATATAATGGGTAAGAGCTGGGCTCTGGGCTCAGATGGTCTGGGGTAGAACCATAATTCTACCCCTTATTAGAATACATCCTTGGGCAATTTACTTACCTTTCTATACCTTGGTTTTCTTATTTGTACTTACCCCTTTTTGTACCTATAAGTATTTAATATGGTGCTTAGCACACAGTAAGAATAAATGTTAGCAATTTTTTCAGATTCAGCATATAGCACCTTATTTTCAGATTACTATTGTATCAGAAATATATTGTTTTTCTTTCAATACTGTGGTTTTTAAGATTTTCTATATTCTTGAATGTAATTTTTAAAAATTTTAGTATCAAAATAGTTTTCAGAGGAACACCTCATTAATTTTATCATTGATGAATGAGAAAATAACAAGTATGCAAAGCTGTGTCAAAGACTCCACTTCTCAGGAATGCAATTACACTGACTATCAAGGAATAACTGTGTACATTTGAGAAAAGGTATAGCATTGCATTTCAAAAGATGCCTTCATTCAACAATTATTTCTGGAGCACTATCCATATGTCAGGACTGTTCTTGGTGTTGGAGATACCACAGAGAACAGACTCTGCTCTCAGTGAGCTTACCTTCAAGGAATGTGGGGAGCAGGTAGGGATTAAAACACCTCTGATTTTTGTAGTGAAATTATAAAAATATTAATGCAAATTATGTTGTCTTCACAGTCAGATATAATTATTTGTGCTCAAGAAGTGGAAATGATGATAAAGCAGTTAGGAGCCCATCTGGAACAACTGAAAATGACTGTAAAATCAAAGACAGCTGTCCCAACATCACAGGTCTTTGTAAGTATTTATCATCAACTTTTACGTTGTTTAAAGGTGAATATACTTTTGAGTCCTATAAAATTGAATCAGAAGTAGTTGTAATTATATTTAATTACTAAAAATGTAATATTAGTTTTATACAAGTTGATACTGTTTTTCATCATTATTTTGTAGTCATAGTATAGAGAGGATTCCCTTGGTGGGCATTTGCTACTAAAGGAAGTGCAGACACACACAGACACACACGCGCACACACACACAAAATCATATTATCACTATTGGCTGTGGCAACAAAAATAATCCATAGTACAGTGTTGAAAATGTGTTCACAGTAGCTATTAGAAATTGCCTTTGGCAAAGAGGTGATGTAACTTGTGACTTTCCTGAAAAGACAGATAATAATCCCTTCAACTACCAGGCCTGCACTTGCTGACTTTTCTGATTATTTACACCATCTTATGGGCAAATCTGATAGCCCTAAGGGGGGGTATAAGGTGCACATACAGTATTTTATAGAACCTCTTGAGGCTCTGATAATTTTCCATGATCGTTCCTAGTATTTGGTTTGAAAAAAACCAAGAAACCAAAGGCTAAGTTGTTTCACCTGAAGTAGGGCCTGATGATTATTATTTTTTATCTCATTGGCCTAAAATCTTTAACTTGCAGCTCACAATACATGCCCCCAGCTATATTTTTAGACTTTCCATGTTCTCTTGAATCATGATTGAGCCAGATAAGTCTAATTATAATGAGTCATATTTAGTTCTTTTATAAAAAAGAAGATATTTTCCCTTTTGAAGAAGATTTTGACCTTTTGAAGTGAAGGACCCATAAATCTTTCTGCTTTTAGGCATGTCAGGAAAAGGAGGGAAGTTTTATTTTCTCCAAAGTATGCCTTTACTTCTAGTTGGAGCCATAATAAGATCATTTGTGGTGCCTGCTGTTTGGAAATAGAGCCAGCTGATCAAATGTATTTGTTTTTGTTTTTTTCTTTTAGTAAATTAACTTTATAGCAATCATACCAAAATAAAATACAAGTTTATTTCCTCCTAATTTATGAGTCAAATATCTTTCTAGTTTCTATTGTCTAACTTCATGAGACTTTTACCTGTCTTAAGAAATAATTTCTTTACAAATAGTATTTCTTTTCAAGACTACAGTGATTTATAATTTTATTAATCAGTTATATTTTGAACATTCTTTTTCTCTTCCTCAGCCCATCTTCATTGCTCTTTCCAATCTGTGGACTAGCTTTCAGGATGAAACTGTTTTGGTCAGTGTCCTCAGTAATTTAACTGCTCACCTGGAGCAATTTCTGGGTGCTCATGAACTACTGTTTCCTGAGAAAGTAATGCAAGATCTTCTAAATGAAGTGACTGTGAAAACTGATGTGTATAGAATAAAAGAACACATGGGTAATCAAAATCATCCATTATTTCCTCTTCCTCTTAAAATTACCTGTAGAATAAAGTCACTCTTTTGATTTAAAATTTTCATATTATATCTTTTTGATAAAGTAGTAAACTTCTTTTTTGATTGTAAGATAGTGTTCATTATTGAAAATGTGGAAAACAAAAAATATAAACTGAACGTCTTACTGTCCAGAAATAGCCATTCCTAATGTTCTGGTTAACGAGGATCATCTGTTCTTACATGTTTCTATTGTAGTCTTAGTGATTTTTATTATTGACTTATAGTAGAAACGGATATTAATCCTTGCTATATTTGTTACAAATAAAGCTCCATTTCTTTGGACTTCCATTTCAACCTCAGATTCAGGTTGAAATTTATAAATCAATAAATTTTATCCTTGCAAAATTAATTGAGCTTATTTTAGACCCTTTAAGAGATGCACTGATTTTTGAAAGGCTGTCTTTATCTATAAACTTCTTTTTATTTTTACGTCAAAACTTTGTATTCACTAGAACACTATTTATCAAGATACTGTTCAAATGAGTTGGGAGACCCAGTGTTCTTCTGAAAGAACTTAATTTACACTTGTCACATGTCATAACTGTTCAAGGCTTTCAGGCATATCAGGAAAAAAGAGGGAAGGTTTATTTTCTCCAATGCATACATTTGCTTTTAGTGGTAGCCACAAGATCATTTGTGGTGTCTGCTGTTTGGGTATTGAGCCAAACACAGAAGTGTAATAGGATTGTGAAAGGTAGAACCTCGGAGATCAATGTTTTTATTTGTGTAAAAAAAATTAGTCAGTTTGCTTATCAAATGTAAGTAGGTAAGCAAACCAACACCAGGAGTAATTTTTAAAAGTATAAAAAACAAAAATTGTACACCTTGTTATCAAAATTAAGTTACTAAGAGATATTCCTTTTCTTTCTGCTTAGAACATTCTTAACTGTTTCAAGAAGCAATAGTCCTCTTAAAAGCATTTTGCCACCTAGTATATAAAACTACACCACCTTGAATGAAGTTGATCTATCTCTGTTAGTCACATAGCAGCTAGTCACTTCTCATTTCCTTGGGTTGTTGACTTGTCTCACTGAATAAAGTTTTTCTTGTCCTCCTCTTTCATTTTAGAAGATAGAGTACATCTGGTGGATTTCAGAAAACAAGAATGGCTTTTCCCAGAAACAACAGCAAATTTTGATAAATTGTTAATCCAGTATCGGGGATTTTGTGCTTACACGTTTGCTACAACAGATGGTCTTCTTCTTCCAGGTATATCATTGGAAATAATATTGCTCCCCCTCCCCCAATGTTTCTTTAAATGAAGTGCTGTCAGTGTCACTTATTTACTTTTTAAAACTTTATGAGATCTGACGGTGAACTAGAAAAGGAGCTACAAAGATGATCCAGACAAAGTGTTCATCTTTGAAGTGCTCACAGTATAATCTGGTAGACTGACATAAACAGGAAATTATAATACAAATGGTCAGTTATGGAATTTGTATATAATGAAATATGGATGCTACGGTATCATAAATGGGGGCTGACTCATATGCCCAGTGAAGGATTCTAGAAATATTACATGACATTACTAAAATATATCATCTTTCTGGGCCAGCCGAGTGGCTCAGTTGGTTAAGAGCTCGCTCAAAGGTTTGAGCTCTGAGCAACAGCAGTTCGAGTCCGGCCCGAGCTGAGCTGCTGCTGAGCTGCCAACAGGTGGCAGGATGGCTCAGCTAAAAAAAAAAATAAATAAAAAAACCCCATATATATATATGTATATATATAAAATCTTTCAAAGTAATTACTTGAAAGAACAGCACTAATTTGACTGATATGTTTATTTAAAAATATTGTCACTTTATGGTTATATTCCACTAACATATTAATAGATCAGGATTTCTGTATAAGGCAGATAACATTAAGGAAATGGCTAATTTCTCATCAAGTAAAATTTCTCTTCATATTATTAGAGCTTCTCCAAAACAAATAGTAAATCAGAAATTTGTGACAACATGGAGGGATCTTGAGATTATCATGCTAAGCAAAATAAGTCAGGCAGAAAAATTCAAGAACCATATGACTTCACTCATATGTGGGATATAAAACTGAAAGCAACAAACAAACCAACAAGCAAACATCATAGGCACAGACAACAGTTTAGTGTTACCAGAGGGTAAGGGGGGAAAGGGGGTGGTAAAAGAGGGTAAAGGGGGTCAAATATATGGTGATGGAAGGAGAGCTGACTCTGGGTGGTGAACACATAATACAGTATATAGATAATATAGAATTGTATACTTGAAACCCATATGTCACCGCAGTAAATTTAATACAAATTTAAAAAAAAGAAAGAAATTGAGATGAAATAAGCTATTATCTAAAAAGTCCTGTTTGTTTGGGCCGGCCGAGTGGCGCGATGGTTAAGAACTCGCTTGGGACGCCAGAGGGCCCCGGTTCGGAGCCCACATGTGAGGGCCAGTGACACTGCCCTCTGCAGCTAAGATGCTGAACAACAGCTCAACCTGGAGCTGGCCTGCCATGAGTCGCCGGCGACGGCGTAGGCTGCAGCCCCTGTGGCAGTGGGTTGCCATGGGCTACCGTATGTAGCCAGCAGCCAGCGTGAGCGGCCAGCAGCCGCAGTGAGCGGCCGTCCAGAAGCCGGCGACTGATCTGCCTTGCCAGAGAAGAGCGCAATGATGGTGCCAACTTGGGCCAGTGAAGCAACATCCTCCACAACTAGATTGAAGAACAAGACGACAGCAACTTGTCTGTTCCCCTTCCCCCAATAAAAAAAAATAATAATAAATAAATAAATAAAAAGTCCTGTTTGAATTGGAAATAACAAGAAGTTGGCTTAGGGCTAGAATGAAAACAGTTTGACAAGATTGTTTCTTATTTACCTTACACCATTAATCTCCTCTTGCTTTTCTTCTTTTTATTTCTTTTCTTTATTTCTTTAGTTATATTTCACTGTTGGGTATTACTTTTTTCACTACAAAGAATTATTGGGATTGTGTATATACATACAAATGGACTAATTTTTTATGGTATTGGATTTTTTCATAATGAGAGTAACAAAAGGTTTACCATGGGGAACTGAGAAAATAATATTCTGAGGCCCCTGTAAGAGTCATTGATACTGGGGAGAAAACAAACAAGAGCCATGAAGAAGTAAAAAGCAATGGAATGTAGATCGTTTCTTTCTTCCCCTCCCCTCCCCTTCCCTTCCCTTCCCTTCCTTTTGTTTCTTTCTTCCCTCCCTCTCTCCCTCCCTCCCTCCTTCACAAATAAGAATGGAAGGGAGTCTTGAGAGACACAAATACAGAGAAACATGGATGTGTGGTGATGACAGAGGTAGCATCATGTGTCTGAAAAAGCTATGGGCTAGGATTCAGGAGATCCTGGTTTCTAGTCTCAATTGTAGCAAATCTCATGCCTGCTGTGGACCTCATTTTCCAGTCAGGAAAAGGAGAGGGTCAACTTGGTTCATTCCATCTTCCACCTACTCTGATTCTAAGAAATAGGGAGAACTAGAAAAGTAGAGGGGCTTGTGGGGCTTGGGTTTCAGAACCCTCTCTGAGAAAGCTAGTCCTGACTACTTTATTTCTGTTTACTACATTCTTTTTACTTACTACATTATTTTCTGGGCAGCAGCAACTTGCACCACCTCATAGGAATCATGTAGTACTTCGCTTCTTCCATTCAGGACTGCAGAGCACGTGGTTTAAATCCTAAGGTGATACTGCGGCTTCCTAGCCATGGTCCTTTTCAGATGACTTCACTGGCTATTGCTTACCACTCTTTACTTGCTCATTATTCCAGTCCCGCTGGCCTTCTAGCTATTATTGAACATTTCAAACCTATTTTCACCTCAGAGCCTTTGCATCTCCTGTTCCCTCTACTTGGAAAGCTCTATCCCCTAGCTAGCTACATATCTTGTCCTTCATTTTATTCAGTTTTCCCTGATTACCCAATTTACAATATCAACATCATCCTTCTTCCTTTTACTGTGTGTTTAAACTGTTTTATGTATTTTTCTGTAGCACTGATCACTCTCTGGCCTATGATTTGGTGAGAGCAGGGACTTTGTTTTCTTCTGTATCCTCAGTGCCAAGAACACGGTCAATATTTGTTGAATAAATGAAACAACAAATAAGTAAGACTGTATTACTGTTTTCTATATAATTCCCATAAACTATGTGGATATTTAATAATCTATATTCTATATAGTATATTTTCACAGTGCGAAATACTTTCTGACATGCAAACTTACATTTTAGAAAAGGTGTCCCATTTTTGTAGTTCTTACAGAATTATTTTTAAAACAATGCTTACATAGTAGTTAATTTAGTTTAAGGAGATTTGAAAAACCTGCCAGATGACTAAGTGGCTTCTCATAAGAGATTTTTAAACATCTTATATCTGGTTAGTGAAATATTTTTATATGAAATCATGCTTTAAAATAAAAATATATAAAATTAGTTAATATGAATTTCACATAAAATATAATTTAACAAAATATATAATTTAACACTGCTAATTGTTACATTTTAGCAAAATAAAAACAAAAGTAATGTTAAAAATGAAGTATATAGGAAATGGTTCTATGGGTGTATTACAAACACAGAATCACTTAATAGTTATACCTCATTTAATTCTTGTTCTTAATTTTCAGGAAATCCAGCAATCGGAATTTTGAAACATAAAGAAAAGTATTACACTTTCAGTACCAGAAGTGCTGCATATTCATTTGCAGAAAACCCCGAAAATTATATTGATTTAATTAGAGAAAAGGCCAAAAAAAACGCAGAGTTAATTCAGCTACTGGAACTTCATCAACATTTCGAAACCCTCATTCCATATTCTCAGGTAGGGCTGGTCAGTGTTTTAAGAATTTATGACATTTAAAAGTATATTTCATTAAAAAGTTGTATTTTGTTGTACATTGGTTCCCAAGTCCAGACAGAGACAGGGTCAGGTGAGGACCTTTCCAGGTTATCTGAAAGGGATTCACACCTGAAGATGGAAACTAAGGAAATCCACCAAGAATAGTGAAAACAAGATAAAGTGTCAAATTGATGAATTAGACTTGGAAAATATGAAAAAGACTACAATTAGATAAATAATTGAAACTATAGTATTTTCTTATCTAAAATTGAAGGAGTTCAGTGCAGATAACATAGGTGATAACTTAAAGTTGTAAACTAATTTAACAGGTTTAAATCGCAAGTCTGAAAGGCCACAAAATGCATCTGAAGGTGTGTTTCTTTGTATGTCGATGCCTGTCAATTCATTCAATAGCTACTTACTGAGCCACTTACTGTGTGCCAGGCACTGTTCTTGGCACAGGGCATTTAGCAATGAACAAAACATATACAAATTCCTGCCTTTGTGGGGCCCACATTGTACTGCTCATTTTCTTCCTCTTGGTTTCTCATTTTTATTGTCCACCTTTTAATTATTCTTTCTGTCTCCTCTCTCTCTCTCTCTCTCTCATTCAGTTCCTCTCTTTTAAGGACACTAAAATAAAAAATAAAAAAACCCCTGAAATACATGGTTTAGAATGTTTTTTGATATTTTTATCAACATTTGACTATGAAGCGAATGGGTTTGGGTACAGCTAGCTGACTGTGTCGGCAGGGACCCAAGCAGTGACTGGTAAGTATGGACAAAGTGGTTGGGGAGTGGGACAGCTGTGGCAGGTAAAACCTGGACAGTTCAGTTGGTGCTCTTGTCTGACAAACTGCTACCAGCCTATTGATGTGACACTCCTTTTGGATGAGGCAATTTTCCAGAGTGCTCTAGGTTCCTTCAGTGGTGGAGAGAGAGTGATATATTTAGTATCTTGCATGTGGCCAAATGGTAGGCCTATAATTTTTGGCTCAACTGAGAGGTTCCTCTCAAAATTTTGGACCAATTTAACTCCAGTCTATGAGGCTTGTTGCTTACCAATAATCCTGCTAGCACTTGCTGTTATCTGGGTTTATAATTTTTGCCAATGTGATGAATTTAAAATGGTATCTCATTATTATTTTATTGTACTTTTTCTGATAGTGAAGTTCAGCATATCTTCTTACATCTATAACTCACTCAGATTTCCCATTCCATACGACTATTCATAACTTTTGCCAGTGTTTTCTTTTCTGTTTTCTGTCTTTAACTTGTTGATTGGCAGGAATTCCTTGTCTATTGTATTTATTCTCTATCAGTTATAAAATGTCCAAATGTCTTTGCCCAGTCTGCTACCTCTTAGCTTTGTCAGTTGAGTCCTTCATTGAAGACTCACCTTTAATTTTAATGTAGTCATAACTATTAATTTTTCTCTTTAAACATTGTGCTTTTTGAAGTTTTGTTTTAGAAATCCTTCATTGTCTTCGGTTATCCATTTACATTTTCTCCTGTTTTAATTTATTATTCACATTTAGGTCTTTAGTCCATTTAGAGATAATAAAAAATTCTAATTTTATTTTTCTTCATGTAGTGAGCCAGCTTTCCTAACATCATTTACTAATAATGTATAGTTTTCCCACTAAATACAATTCCATTTCCATTGTATTAACAGTTAACAATTTGCATACCAAATGGGCTTGTTTCTAGGTTCTTGATTCTGTTCCACTGGCCTATTTGTCTATCTCTATGCTGAGACCATACTGTTTTAATTACTATTGCTCTATAATATATTTTATTATCTGATAGGTCAAACCCTTCACTTCGCCTTTTATTTTTTCAAAATTGTCTTAGACATGCATGGATCTTTATATATCCATGTAAATTTCTTAATGAGTTCAACAACTTTCCCTTATAATCTTCCTGGATTTTAACTGAAATTACATGAAAATAATAAAATAATTTGTGGGGGAATTTATGTGTTTATTAGATTAGGTTGTCCTACCCATAGAAAGTACCATTTACGTAGTTGTTTTTTTTTAACCATCAGTAGTTTCACTAATTATGCCTTATTAAACTTAATGGTTTCATTTATATTTTATACTCTACCTACTTCTAAAACATAAGTGAGATCATTTTTTTGGAAAAACACTTATATATCAATTCTGATAAAATACAACAAAAAGGCTAAAAAGAAAACAACACTACATTGGGGAAATATGTCACACTCATTTTAAATAAATAACTTTTAATTGTAAGAGGGTGCCAAAAAAATGTATACGCATTTTAAGAAAGAAAAACTGTATAAAAATTGTAATACTCAATATATGCTGATAACAAAAGATGAATACAAGTCACGTTTGACTTCTGCAATTACAAGAGGTGCTCAAAGTGTTCCCATCAACGTCCAGACACTTCTGATTACGGCGAACTACTGCTTGAGTTACTGATTGAACTACTGATTGACCAAAGTGTCCACTTGTATACATTTTTTGGCACCCCTGGTATTTATATAAATCAAAGGATATATGATATGCATCACTGTATAAAAACAATGAAAAACAAACACCTGTGTATCCATCACTTATAACAAATATCTCAGAGCCACCTATGCACTCCTTTCTAATCTCATTCTTTTCTCTTCTGCTCATTAAATACTTTATGAATTTGGTGTTATTCATTCCCTGTCTTTTTAGTTTTTGCCATTCATGTATGTATTCCTAAATATATCTGTGAAATGACTATGTCTTTCTTCCAATTTTCTATTGGTAATACGTTGTTTTCTTAGTGATTTGTAGGAGGTGTTTTTTAAAATACATTTTTGATACTAATTCTTTGTTAGATACATGTTGTGCAGATATATTCTCCCAGTGTGTTGCTTATTTTTTATGTCTGTGGTGTCTTTTGATAAACAAAAGTTTTTCATTTTAATATGTAATTTATCTTTCTTTTTTCTTTATGTCTTGAGCTTTTATGTCTTGTTTAAGAAATCCTCATGTATCCTGAGATCATAAAAATATTCTTCTAAATTGCTTTTTTAAAATACAAATTTGCTTTTCACACTAGTCTTTAATCACTTGGATTTGATTTTTGTGTTGGGTGTGAGGTAAAGATCCAATTTTAATTTTTTTCCATTTGAATAGTGAATTGTCCCAGGCTGTATGTTCAATATTCTCTCCTTTCCCCACTGTATCTTATAAACACAGGCTTATTTTTTAGGCTCTCTATTCTGTTCAATTATTTAATTGTTTAAAAATTCCTGTGCCTATATCTTTTTATAAGTTTATAGCAAGTCTTAATATCTGGTAAAGTTCTCCCACCCTTTTTTCTCTAAAGAATCTTGACTATACTTGATTCTTGATTTTTCATATAAATTTGAGAATTATACTGTCAAGTTCTATAGAAAAACTTGAAAGAATTATGAATTTGCATGTCTACAGACAAGAAATATTTGGCCTTGCTATCATTTATTTATAATTTACAGAGTCGTAAGATAGCTCAAAGACACTGCAAGGCTAGAATCAGATAACCAGTAGTTGTGCTGTTTGTAGACAATGCATAGTTTTCCATTAAAGAACAATTTTTTCCTTACATAGCTAGTCTTGTTTTCCCTTTCTTTCTATTTAATTCTCAGCTGTTCTTCAGTAACCTTCAGTACCCTTGGAAGTGGGTTTTCTCTCTCCATATTTTAATGCTATAGTTCTTATTTACTTGCCATTTACTTGTATAGTATTGTTAATTATCTTTTCAGCATTTTTTTTTATCTACCTAACTGTATCATAAGATCATTTTGAAGGTAAAAATTATATCTTATGTTACATGGTAGGCACTCACATCTGTTGCTTGACTTGGGGAAAAAATGTTAATCCTTCTCCCTTCTTTTTACTATGACTAAGCTCCTTAAACGTCTGTCATCCCCTCAGCAACTTCATACCCAGCATAATCATATCTTGTTTAGTGTGGAATTACTGAATACTTAGTATTTGAGTGAGCTTCTGGGTATGCCAGCAGAAAATCAATATATTCATTAAAAGAAAAAATAACAAAAAATCTTCTTGGATAATAATCTGGCTATGTATGCCTAGTTTGAGTTTAAGATGTATTCTGAAGATGTTCTGATACTTTAAACAAACATGATTTATACCTAATATTTAATAGCTATTCTAAACTTCTGTCCATTTCCAACAAGGTATTCACTTACGCTACCAATTGTGAAAGTTGGAGACGTAATGAGTGATGTTGGGTTTTCCCCTTCCAAAATCCACCTCCTACATTAAATTCACAAAATCAGGCACAAAGCCACAATGCCCAGGAAAATAAATTACATTTAGCTTGCTAATTATGAGCTTATTTTTTCTGCTCGTATTACAAGTATATCCCATGTTTAAAAATTTTTATCTTTCTAATCTTTTGTCAGTTTTAGCTAATACTTTAGTTAATAAATAATGCTTATTTTTTTTACAAATATTAATTACAAAACTCCATTTCCTTAGATGAAAGATGTTGATAAACATATAAAACCAATTACAAAGAGTGAAACTGGCACACAGACGGATACACACATATTGCAACCAACAATTGTGAGATCATATGAGTGGAATGAATGGGAATTAAGAAGAAAAGCTATAAAATTGGTTGGTAACAATATTTTCTAAAATTACTTATAGGTTGGGAAATTTTAATATGTTTTTACTCATAGAGTTGATAAGTTAAATTATTTTTATAAAATAACTGTACAGAGTTCTTTGCTAACATAAAAATAATAAGCATAATTTATAATTTGCCAGCTTTACATTGTAAGATTGTCTTCTAATTTTAAGCATATATTGAAATTCAGAAGCATGGGACAATGCTCAAATTATACCAGCCGGTAACTAGAACACTGATAGTTGTTATCTCTTATCTCTATCTTTCTCTATATCTCATCTCTCTATTAATCTATCTAATCATTTTAATTTATTATGCTAATCTATGAATAATGCTAGTATTTAAAGCATTCCCAACTGCCTCTAATCATTTGAAGTATACCCTTTTCTTTTTGGGACTTTTGTTGAGGAACAGAATTTTACCTCTGTTATATCACAGATATTGTCCCCCCTCATTGTCAACATGTCCTCTCCAGACACTGGGCTCTCTAGTCCTTCTGATTCTCAGTCTTCTTAATCACAGTAGGTGCCTACCCTTTAAACTTGTCTTTGAAACGCTCATCCCTATTCACTTAGTGGAATTTCACCCACCTACCATATTTATAGTATCTTGTCATTTTAAACAATTATTTATAGTATTAAGGAAACACTTTTTATAACTGTAGCTTTTTCTTAGTATATTTTATCCATGTCTTTAACTGAAATAAGGTGTGGAAATAAATGAAGACTACCGGAATGAGAACAGAGGCTATTTATTCAGAGCTTGCTATAGTTAAAGGAGTCAGACATCATCGCTTCCCTTTGCCAGAGACTCAAGGGCAGGGAGAGGAGTGGGAAAACTGTATATGAAAACAGGGAGGGCTTCAGGTATTCTCAGATTGGAGGTTGTTGAAATGGGAAACTGGAGGCAGGCATCTTATGTGATTGGTTTGGTGAGCGTATTTGGCTCTCCCTGGTTGGTCCTGAGTTACAGGGTGGGTGGGCACCCAAATAGGGAAGCCGGCCAAGACCTGACTGCTCTGGGCCATGACTGCTACAGACACAGAGGTTGTGGTTTGGCTTCCTGGACTGGTTGCTGCAGAGATTGTGGTCAGAGTTCTATTGTTACATAAGGTCTCTAGCCTTTGTTTGTATATTGAGTCTCTCACAGGCTTTTCACTCGCCACATCATTTCCCTTGCCACCCTCTGATGGCAGCTTTTTACAAAGTCCCTTGATTTCCTGGAATGAGGATGGTTCAGCTTTCTGGTATACCTTCCGGATCGTTGTTCCATTAGCATTCCTATCAGTTATTCTCCTGCAGTTCTTGAAGCTCCCATCCCCCACATTCTTTTCTATTATCTGCCAAACTCACTTGAACTCATCAGATATATACTGGCTAACATATATATTCCACTACCTTGTTCTTCAGGAGCTAAGTCTATCAAGTAGCGTTGATACGCTAAAAATATTTAAGTACCTCTTGCTAAATGGTATAGCAGAAGTGAAATAAAAATTCTACTAAATTGACTTAGGTGACATTTAAGTTGGTTTTGAGATAGAAATAGGCAAAGGAGAAGAGGGGAGTGATGGTTGGATAGGCGATGAGAGTAGAGGTGACAGCACAGGTCTGGACTGGAAATGTTAAGAGAATGGAGTATTTAGTGGGGCTGAATTTCATTCTGACTGAACCCTCTCTTCTCATTCCTCAACCTCCACTTCATTCTGATTTCCATCTTAGACCTTATTATCCCCTAGAATTACATGATGTTGAATGCCAGCTCCCCAGATATCACCAACACAACCTGGTGATAAAACAAAGCTGAGTATATTGGCTCAAAGCCGTGAGGGAAACCATCATATCAGCAGAGCTTAGGCAGTGTCTCAGAGGAGGAACAGCAAGGTCAGAATTTATTGAGCATTTAAAGTTTGGTTGAAGGCAGGTATTTCAATGCCAGGGGTAGGTCGGGGGATGGGATGGGGGTTTGAATTGGATTGGGTAAAGATCATGAAAAGCAGTCCAGCATTGATGGGAATAGCAAGGTAATTTTTGAGGCAAGGGATGCAAAGAATCCTAGGGCTTAATCTGTGTGTTAATGCTTACCACTGAAGAACTGATGCATCTTTCAGGATGTTCTGTAATGAACAATCAAGTTATTTGCTTTCACAAGAGCCTCTTGGAATAGTAAAATTATGCTAACAAAGACGGTGGAATAGTAAAGTTATATTAATGTAGACAATAAACTGTGTGGGGGGAGGTAGTTTTGCTTCTCAATCACTTGCAGTATCTCAGATTCTGAAATGTTTCCTCTAATTCCAAGTCTTTCCTTCTTAATTCACATGCTCTAATTCCTTCTGAGTTTTTTTCCCTGGACTTCACCATAACCTCAGTAGCTCCTATTCTTTGTATAAGCTCCTCCTTGGTTTTCATCCTGAGTAATCTGTTTAACTTCATGTTTACTAGTAATCCATAAAAAGAGCAAGCAAAGTGTAGAATAACATAAAATATATTCTGAAAACATCAGAGCTTTTTATATTAAGTCTTGGGTGAAGCCTATTTAAATAAGATAATGGAAATCTTAAATTTTTGTCTTTACAAAAATAAACCAAGAATGGTGGAAAAAATCCAAGTTGTGTGAATCTCAAAGCATAGTAAAGAAGGTATTAGAAGATTATATTAAATAATTGAACTCAATGTAAATTTGAACCTGTATGTTATTTCTTTGGGTCCATTTTCATTATTTATTTTCTTACTTCTTGGCAAAGGATATTTATTTTCTGTTATATTCTAGATTTTATAATATTCTAATGTTTTGTAGAAAAATCCTATGTTGCAAAACTAATTTCTTTGAGAATTGAGAAAAAATAGGTAATATTAACTGGTACTTGGTAATATTTTATATTATTTGTTCTTTATAGAAATGTTAATTTTTTGTGTGTATTCTCTTTCTACCTAGGCCAATTTGCGTCAGAAAGTTACTCACTCTGTACAAACTGATCTTAGTCACATGAGAAGAGAAAATTGTTCACAAGTGTACCCTTCAAAGGACACTAGCACACAATCTATGAGGGAAGGCAGCACCAGAGTGCCCAGGCCCCAGATCTACATAGCTGGCCTCCGAGGGGGCCAGGCTAAAACTTCCTATGGTGTCAGGGTGAACTTAACAAGAGCTGTTGATGAAACCTAGTTAGCGGCCATATTTTTAAAGTAGATATCACCAAATTATGAACAATGGCAAATATTTAAAAGTATTTTTGCATCCATGAAATGTAGCTAATTTTGTGGTGCTGTCACATTCATTGGTTAAGTGAATTTTTTTGGATTCCCGTATTCACTGTCAAACTGCTACAAAAAATTAAAAATTGTTTTCTGTGACACATTTTTCATTCTATTAAAATTGAAAAGTTAAACTGTGTCCATTCATCTTTTATTTGTTAGAAAAAGTTTGGCAGCATTAAGACTGAAATTATGATGTCACTTAGATATTAATGTAAGATTATTATGACTGTGATAGTTTATTTCTAAAACCATATTTAGTGGTAAACATTAAAAATTTAAAACCTAGACAATAGTTTCAGCTTCATTAGCTATTATTGTTAACATAGATTAAATTGATAATATAGCAGTCCCCCTTAGCCGTGGTTTCGCTTTCCACCCTTTCAGTAACTCACAGTCAACTGTGTTCCAAAAATATTGAAAGGAAAATTCCAGAAAAAAACAATTCATAAATATTAAATTACATGCCATTTTGAGTAGCATGATGAAGTCTTGTGCCATCCTGCTCTGTCCTGCTCAGGACGTGAATCATCATCCCTTTGTCCGGCGTATTTACACTGTACATATAGTACAATGAGATATTTTGAGAGAGAGAGAGACCACATTCACTTAACTTTTATTATAGTACAGAGGGTGCCAAAAAAATGTATACACATTTTAAGAAAGGAGAAAAACTATTAATATTGTAATACTCAATTTATACCAATAACAAAAGATGAATACAAGTCACTTTTGATTTCTGCAATTACAAGAGGTGCTCAAAGTGGTTCCCATCAGTGTTCAGACACTTCTGATTAAGGAGAACTATTGCTTGAGTAACATTGAACAAGTGTCCATTTGTATACATTTTTTTGGCACCCCCGGTATATTGTTATAATTATTTCATTATTATTGTTTTTAAGCTCTTACTGTGCCCAATTTATAAATTAAACTTTATCATAGGTATGAATGCATAGGAAAAAGCATATCATATATAGGGTTTGGTACTACTGAGGTTTCAGGGGTGTTGGAATGTATCCCCTGCAGATAAGGGGGAGGGGGACTACTGTATAATAAAACCTCACTAATTTGGAACAATTAGAGCAAGGTTTCTTAAAACCTGGAAATTTTACATACAATCTGAACTTTGGCCCTTTAAAGAAATCAGACTGTCTGGCAACACTTAGCTGGCATTGCTGTGAGTGGTAGCTGGCCCTTTATTAGGACAGGCACTTCCAGTTTAGTTTCTGCTGCCTTCCGGCTCTCCCCCTGCCTTATCTGCCTCACCCCAGAGGCAGTGGTGTTAGGGCCTCTGTGAATCACTGATAGCCACATTTAGAGATGTAGTTTTATTACTTTCTTCCATACTTCTAATATCAACTCATGGATAAGTAAGGCTCCCAAGTGGAGGGGCTGTTAAACCTGCTTTAATAGCTAGAGGGTCGTTCACCTTTAGCTTAATTTTTCCGCCTAAGCGACTTTTACTAAGGTGTTTGTATAATTTGTTTTCTATGTAGGTTAAATGTTATTATAATATGAATAGGCTTCAAAATCCACTTTCCACAGCTTTTATAAAAGTAAACTTCAAAAAGACCTACTTCTAAGGTTTCATGATTTTCATAATTGTGATTTTAAAATGATGTTAAAGATAGACTGACTGGCGTTGAGGCAAGGCCTGGGGCCAGGGGCACCGGGGGAGTGATCCTTACTTTAAGGATGTGGGATGGTTAAAGCTGACACTAAACAGGAAATTCAGGAATTTGATTTTATCTGTTCTATCAAACCCTCATTCAGTTCTGGAAGAGTCCTAAACACAGAAGAATAAGCCACAATTCGGGGATATAATGTTAAGGCTGAAAGTAAAATTGCACAGCGAATAAAAAGACCAAATATAATTTGCAAAGCTAAACTTAATATTAGAAAATTTTTGGTAAGTACAACAGAATCAGAATAAGGAGACCTAGATCAAATAGTAAACTCATCTTCTCCCCGCACCTCCACCGTCTACCCAAGCCCCACTGCTCTCTAAAGATTTCCAACTGCATGCTGGACCCCGTGTCAGATGGTCACCCCCATTTTAGCAGGTCACAGGCTGAACTCATGTTCTCTGCCAAACGTGTTTCTCTCTGTGTGTATGTATTTCCCTGTATAGTCAAAGGTAGCACCATCTACTCTGTAGCATAAATTAAAAACTTCTTGATTTTCTTTCACAGCATCTACATTTAATGAGTCATCAAGCCCTGTTGATTTGGCTTGAATCGTCTTTAGGAGTCATGTCTTCCTAGTCTCACCACCACTGCCATCGTTCAGGACTGAGTCCTATTACCTGATTCATTGGCATAATTTTTCTATTACTAACACACACACCTGATCACATCACCTGGCCCCCCAACCCCTAATCTCCACTTTCCTTGCTTAAAAACTTACCATGGCTCTTTTCCATTACCTACGGGATAAAGTAAAAACTCCTTTACACATTTTCTAAGACTTTTCAAAATATAGCCATTTACTTTCCAGTTTCTCTTTCTACCCCTCTCATGCTACCTCCACAAGCTATACATATTAGGCAAATTGAACCAAAACTCTTCAAATATGTCATGGTCTTTAATACCACCCCTCTCTCCTCTTGTTTTTCACTCTGTCAGCTGGAATGTACTCTACAGACACCCAAACAGCCTGATTGGATTTACCTTTTCAGTGAAGGTTTTTTCTTTGTGAGAATTAATTGCTTCTTCCTCTGGATTTTCACTAGTTTTATTTATATTTATTTGCTTGTTTGTTTGTTTACTTAATTTCCATCCCCCCTCCCTTTGGCAACCATCTGCTTGTTCTCTATGAGTCTATTTCTGTATTGTCTTGTTTATTCATTTATTTTTTTTAGATTCCACATGTGAGATCACATGGTATCTCTCTTTCTTTGTCTGACTTACTTCGTTTAGCATAATACCCTCTAGGTCCATCCATGTTGTTGCAAACAGCAAGATTTCATTCTTTTTTATTGTAGAGTAATATTTCTCTCTCTCTCATTCTCTCTCTATATATATATCTGCGCGCACACACACACACGCACACACACACACAGAGTACCAAAAAATTGTATACACATTTTAAGACAGGGAAACTGTATTAAAATTGTAATAATATATACCAATAACAAAAGATGAATACAAGTCACATTGGGCTTCTGCAATTACAAGAGGTGCTCAAAGTGGTTACCATCAGCGTCCAGACACTTCTGTAGTTCGTCCACATGGCGAACTACTGCTTGAGCAACATTGACCAAAGTGTCCACTTGTATCCATTTTTTTTTGGCACCCCTGGTATATATACCACATCTTCTTTATCCATTCATCTATTGATGGACATCCAGGTTGCTTCCATATCTTGGCTATTACTAGTAATTCTGCAGTGAACATGGGGGTGCATGTATCTTTTCAAATTAGTTTTTTGGGTTTTTTTTAAGTTTTTATGGGGGAATTGGGGGGGAACAGCATTGAGGAGTTGGGGAAGGGGAACAGACAAGTTGCTGCCCTTTTGTTCTTCAGTCTAGTTGTGGAGGACGTCGCTTCACTGGCCCTTGTTGGTGTTATCATTGTGCTTTTCCCGGGTGAGGCAGTTGCTCGCTGGCCATTGGACGGCCACTCACGGCAGCTCACGAAAGCTCACACCAGGTGCCGGCCAGCCCCACTGCAGCCTACGTCGTTGCCAGCAACTCACAGCAGTCCAGCTACAGGTGGAGCTGTTGTTCACCATCTTAGCTGTAGAGGGCACAGCGTCACTGACCCTCATGTGGGATCCGAACTGGGGTCCTGCTGCTCAGAGCTGTGTCCCAAGCCAACTTCCAACCAACGTGCCACTCAGCCAGCCCTCAAATTAGTTTTTATTTTCTTTGGATAACTACCCAGAAGTAGAATTGCTGGATCATATAGCAGCTCTATTTATAATTTTTTGAGGAATCTCCATATTGTTTTCCATAGTGGCTGCACTAATTTACAATCCCACCAACAATGTATGAGGGATTCGCTTTTCTTTACATTCTCACCAGCACCTATTATTTATTCATTGATGATAGCCATTCTGACAGGTGTAAGGTGATATTTCATGGTGCTTTTAATTTGCATTTCCTTGATGATAAGTGAAGTTGAGCATCTTTCCATATGTCTGTAGGCCATCTGTATGTCCTCTTGGTAGAAATGTCTATTCAGGTCTTCTCAGTTTTTTTTTTAATTGGATTTAATTATTCTTGGTGTTAAGTTGTATGTTTTTAAATATATATATTTTGGATATTAACCTTTATCAGATGTATTATTTGTGAATATCTTCTCCTATTCAGTAAGTTGTATTTTCATTTTGTTGATGGTTTCATTGTACAAAAACTTTTTAGTTTGATGTAGTCCCATTTGTTTATTTTTTCTTTTGTTTCGCTTGCTTGAGGAGATATATCCAATATTTGTACTCTTATTATAGTACTTAAATAGGTATAGATTCTTTTCTGTACTCTCCCTGTTAGATTGTGATTTTCTTGAAATTTAAAACTGAATTTTAGTTATTTTTACATCTCTGGCATTTGTATAGATTCTTGGTGGATGAATGAATGAAAGGACGAACTAGAAGCAGGGTTTGGTTGAATGATTTTTTTAATAGACAAGGTGGGAGTTGACAAGGAGTTCAGCAGCAAAGTAGTTATTGGAAAGGAAGAGAGAGGAAACTGAGAGGAAAAACGAGATTATTTTTTTGGGAAGTGGGGGGAAATAAAGTTAGATAAGTTGGGTTGGTATAGCTTTTGGAGGACTTTGAAAACCAAGAAGGAGGAATATGTTGCCTTCCTGTTGTAGGATATTAGAAAAACACTGCAGATTCTTGAACATTGATTGTGGGAGAGCAGTATTGGAGTTAGGGATATGGCTAGGAAGCTATTGAAAGAACTAGGGCATGTGATAATGGATGACGTGAAGGATGAGATTTAATGAGTGCGATATAACATCTCAGGAAAGGGTAGGAAAAAAATCAAAGTATGATCTCAGGGTTTTCTCCCTAGGAGACCAAGGATAATTGGGAAGAGGAACTGATTAATCAAAAAAGATAACATATTCGGGCCCGCTGAGTGGCGC